GCCGGAGAACCCGGAGAGAACCCACGCTGCACGGGGAGAACATGGAGACTCCACGCAGAAAGATCCCGGGTGTCCTCACTGGGATGCGAACCAGCAACCTTCTTGCTGCGAGGCAATGATGCTAACCACTGAGCCACCTTGCAGCCCCAGAAAAACTGACTTAAGCTTAAACTGTTACATGTGAAACAGTGAAACCCACAATGAAAACACATGAGTTTCTGCTTTACTGGTTAACCTCTTCAACTCTGGAGGTCTGTGCACTAGAAGCAAGCTCTATTATATACTATACATTATTATATTACTATTGTTAATACTAGCTCATGTTTTTTTAATGTGGCACATTCGCTGAAGGAGCCATGCCATGACTAATATGGATGCAGCATTTGTTGTGCTTAATTTCTGCTGCATTGGATTTTGCGAAGCTGCAATTCAGAATTTTTCAGAACAGGCTCAATAACATCTGACTCACTCTTATGAAGCTGTTATTGTCTCTCAAGCTGACAGCTGTGATTGGGGAGATGTAAAAAATGTCAATTTCTGCTGGAGTTTTTCAAATCTCATTCTGGCCTTGTAATAAGGAGCTTTATTGTTTTGTTCTGGGTTTTTTTTTTAAATTCTCCCAGGTGTCTCTACCCAGCGAGCCCAAGGTTGTTCATTTCGACCTTACAGCTGTTACTGGCTGAATTTGGGGAATTTTTTTTTTTTTTCAGGTGGAATTTTCCAAAAATAGCCCGGGCATAAAAGGTTAACTTACACAGGAGCTGCTTTCTGCATAATCAGGACATTTTATCCTTTTACTCTTGACTGTGCCAGCGACCCTGTTGAAACCATATAATTACTAAAGAGAACACACATAACACATCTGACATACGTCGTGTAATTGTACAGAAGGATGGATGATTCCCTGCAGGCTAATGTGAACATATTTCTGATAAACATGACTTGCTCCTATATGTCAGCGGGGCTGGCAGCCACATTAATAAGAGGTGCACGCGTTCACACATCTAAAATAGCAGCATTAAGGGATTACATACGATCCTTTACATCTTCTTTTTTTCTCTTCTCTGTCAGATCTTCAGCTTTTGGCAACACATGGCTGCAATTTAATCATGATTAAAAAGTCAAATGTGTTGATTTATGCAACATGGAACATTTTTTTAAACACTAATATCGTTCCTGTGTTGTTTCTGTTATGATCAAACAATATGATTAGTGTTTAAAGTTACCCAGTGAGCTAATTACAGCCATTAAACAAAATAATCAATATTATTTGCACAGCATCATTTATGCACAGCTCCAAAAGTTTATAACGATTAGAAAGAAAATACTTAAATAGTCCAGAACACAGTATACATGCATGTATTTTTTTGTCAAAATTCAAAAAGTACGACATATTAAACAACTTTAGATCGAGTTATTTGTGATGATGGCAAAACAGGAAGTGTTGTTGAACTGCAGTTTTCGAGACACTTCCCAGAAGCAGCTTCACTCCAGATCTGTGTTTTGTACCTGATTTTTTAGGTACAATGAGCAGCAGCAGGATAAAATCAGAATGCACTACCGAGGACTTATCAGAGAGCACATCAGCAGTGTAGTCAGGCCTTAAAGCATGCACAAGCTTCCCTATCTCAGGTGGTAGTGGATATTCTTTACGTGTAGAAGTGACGGGATGCTGTTTTAGTACGCTCCTCGTGTGCAGTGGGAATACTTCAACTTTCTCTCCTGCTTTGTAATTTGCTGAGACGTTCCAGGTAAACGTGCAAAGGCTGCTTCCTTCCTTTCATTCCCTGATCAAAAATAGATATTTGCCTACTTTGCAACTTAAATGCTCACTTATTTTGCATTTAAACCCAGATTTATGGTTGTCAGGTACTATATAGGGTAATGAATAACACTGGTCTACACATATTTTGAGTTTTTTGAGCTGATTTTGGACAATTGCAATGAGCTGAATCCAAATGTTACACTGGTTTTGCTCAATGAGGTTAAAATTTTGATTTGTCGCCACATGCACTTTTTTTTTATTTTACATTTTTGTGTACATGTGCGGATATCAATGCTTTGTATCATACTAAATTCTTTTTCTATTTCCTGAAATAATCAAATTCTGAAACCTTTACAAGTTGACACTATAAATATTTGCAGGTGAATTAAATTTAGAAAGTTCACCCCCTGGTTTATGAACAGCACATTAGAGTCATGTGATTTTTTCACGATGAACATCTGAGTGAACACCACTGGATGGCGTGATCATAGTTTTAGTTGTAGTTTATGATGGTTTTCTCTGCTTCAGTATTGTTATATATTTAGTGTTCTTTGCCTCAATACCTACATTGAAAACAAATGGCTTCAGCAGGAAGGGCTTGTAGAAATGAGCCTGATGTCTTCTGCTACATCTGTGGTGAATACACTCTTGTTCCAAACAGATACCCGGTCACCAACTTTGTAAAACGAGTTTTTCATAAGAATAATAGTAATAATAATTCATTTTATTTGTATAGCGCTTTTCAAGAACTCAAAGACGCTTCACAGGATAAAAGCAAAGCAATAAAAGCATTAAACAACAAGCAACAAATACAAAGGTAGACAATATAGAAATACAGCAAGCAGGAGAAAAAATAAATAAATAAAAATCATGCTTATTTTGGCATGAAGCTAATCGCTAATGTCAAAAAATGTTAATCGATTTAGTGGCAAAATCGATTTTTTTATTATTTTTTTTAATATCGAGTTGGCATAAAAACCTGACCTGATACAGAAAAGCAGATGTTATTTTTGGATTCAGCATTGAAAAAATATGTTTTTGTAACCCGGTGTACCACATCTCTTGTCACACAATATACTACAATATGCTGGACATCCTCATGCTGTAAAGTGCTCACACTCTTCCTTTCCTGCTTAAACATTTGTGTACTGAGGACACAGTTCAAACCTTGCTGGACATCTATCCATCCATCCATCCATTATCTATACACCGCTTAATCCTCACGAGGGTCGCGGGGGGGCTGGAGTCTATCCCAGCCGACTTAGGGCGAAGGCAGGAGACACCTGGACAGGTCGCCAAGCCATCGCAGGGCCCTTGCTGGACATCTTAACTTATAGCTACATAAGAAACCAGAAACATAAAAAAAAAAAGTCAGCTGTCACAATGTCGTGCAATTAGGTGCTATTTTAAGTTTGAATCATTTATGTTTTAACTAATTAGCTTATACTATTGGTGTAAGTTTGTTATTGATAACATAGAGTTAAAAATATGTCATTTTTTATGTTACAAAAACCCATTTTCAAACTTGCTGACATCTTTGTTCTTTGACTCCTAAGACGCCTCCACCTGCATGATGTCAGAGTGGATAAACTGGTCTCCGTGCAGCGTGACCTGTGGGGCGGGAACACGATCCCGGGAGCGTTACGTCAAACAGTTCCCAGATGACGGCTCAGTGTGCACTCTGCCCACGGAGGAGACCGAGAACTGTGTGGTTAATGAGGAATGCTGTGAGTTTTCCCCCTTTTGTTGCTAAACTTCTTACCAACACACGACTAATCGAGTGCGTTAGTTTAGATCTAATGTAAGTAACACTGTGAGTTTACTGTACCTTGCCTTCTCCTCTCGGCCGCAGCTCCCAGCAGTTGTCTGGTTACGGAGTGGGGTGAATGGGATGTCTGCAGCGCCACTTGTGGTCTTGGCATGAAGAGGAGAGAGCGCATGGTGCAGATGCCTCCTGCAGATGGCTCCATCTGTGGTGCAGAGGTTCTAGAAGTGGAGAAGTGTATGATGCCAGAATGCCGTGAGTAACTATTTCACAGTTTTCCCTCTTTTTGTTTCACTGTCTCCTCAACACAAAGCTTCTAGTTTGCACATCCTTACTTGTAAAATTGTAAAATCGCCCTCTTATGTTCTGCGTTTCATGCGAACAATTCGTCCATTCGTCCTCCCTACAGATACGATCCCCTGCATGCTGACTCCGTGGTCCGACTGGAGCGACTGCAGCGTGACTTGTGGGAAGGGTCTGAGGACCCGGCAGCGTATGCTCAAGTCTCCTGTGGAACTGGGAGAGTGCACGGAAGAGTTAGAACAGGTGGAGAAGTGCATGCTACCGGAGTGCCGTAAGTAACAAACATCCTTATCCACACACCTACTGAACATGTGCATGTATAATTTATGGTAATTAATGGTAAAGTCAACTTTATTATGAAAGCTGGCGCCGTGATGATGATATACGCGCTAACGTTGGAAGTTAGCTCACAGTGTCCAGAGCAGAGGAAGGAAGTCAACAACCTCTATCCTGTGTATCCCTTACACTACTTCATATGCATCTATTTACTGTAATTTAGTGTATGTGAGGTAACTAACAAGTTCATAAGTGTTAAATGACATCAGGAAGGAAATATTAGATCTGCTATAATACTTCTGTGAAATGAATAAAAACTACAGTGACAGTGAATTTGCTGCGATACAGATAAAAGCACAAGCAATGGATTCAAAATAAATTCCACCACTTCAAATTTCAAGAGACAGTTGACTGCATCATATGCAAGTTTATATTTTATAGTATGAGGTGTGTCAGAAAAGTTCCAGGACTGGTGTCACAGAAGATATATTTCAAATACAAACTACAAACTACAAGTTTTCCCCCTGGAGTCTAACACACTTCCCCAGCCTTCTCTGCCACGCACGCCATGGAAGGATCCTCTGCAGCTCCGTCGTCACAGCCATCTTGATGTCGTCCACGTCTTCTAAACAGGTCCCCTTGATGACCCCCTTGAGCTTGGGGAAGAGGAAACAATCCCACAGAGCCAGGTGGGGTGAGTAGGGAGGTTGCTCCAGCACAGCGATGTTCTTCTCAGCCAGGAACTGTGGGATGCTCAGGGCGTTGTGAGCAGGTGAAGCAGCCACGACTCGTCCTGCCACAACTCTCGCCTCTTCTGAACGAAGCAAACGCTGCAGGATCTCTTTGCAGACGTGCTGGTTGATCGTCTGGAGGAGAAAACTGGTAGTTTGAGTTTGAAATACATCTTTTGTGACACCAGTCCTGGAACTTTTCTGACACACCTCGTAGAGCAGAAAACCTTTTTGGGCAAAGAAAGGTAATATTTCTCCAACTAGATACGAAAAAAAAATGTGTTACTGCAAAAGTATTGCAGGAGAACAAAATTTTGATACAGACTATAGCAGGAGTACAAAACAGGACGGGACGTCACCCTCTTGCCCACACATGAGATCGAAAAGAACTCTATTTTATCATGTAATGGCTCTAAACCGGAACAGTTTGGACAAACGGATGAATGGTACGTCTGGTTCTTAGAAGGCTAAGACCTGTCTGCCAAAAAGAACAGCATTAAAACAGCCGTGCTGGAGGTGGGTACATCCTGTTATGAGTTTGTTTTGCTGATGGAGGAAGTGGCAAACTTGATTATGAAGGTTTGCAGTGATTGGACAGTGAGCCTAAAATGTCAAAGTCAGCCAAAGCAGAGAATGTTCCTGCAACGTCTCAACATCAAGGTTGTGTCACCTGCATGATTCGATACATCTCATTATGTCTGTTCATCCTTCTGTGTCATCAGTTACCTCATTTCGCTTGTCTACTCCGTGACAGCTTCTTCTCTCTCTTTCCCGTCCGCCTCCTCAGCCATAGACTGCGTCATGTCAGAGTGGACCGAGTGGTCAGAATGCAACAAGTCCTGCGGGAAGGGCCACACGATCCGGACACGCATGGTGATGCTGGAGCCTCAGTTCGGCGGAGACCCCTGTCCTGAAACCATCCAGAGGAAGAAGTGCAAGCTCAGGAAGTGCAACCGAGGACAAGGAAACAGCGACGAGAAGAAACGACGCAAGGAGCAGCGCGAAAAGCGGAGGAGCAAACAGGGCAGAACCGAAGGCACCTCCGAGCATCCTGGTTTGTAATCTGCTTTAGTTTACTCAGAACTACAACAACACACGCACATATTATTCTGACTGACTTCCTGCTTTTCTGTTCTGTCTTCAGGGTGCAGAATGAGACCATGGTCAAGTTGGACAGAATGCACCAAGCTATGCGGCGGAGGTATTCAGGAACGGCTCATGACAGTGAAGCAGAGGTTTAAGACTGCCCAGCTGTCCAGCTGCAAAGACAGGAAAGAGATCAGGGCTTGTAATGTGCACCCTTGCTAGGAAGGAGGAAAGGGAGCGGGGGCTGGGGTGTTGGACGGGACGAGGGGGGAAGAGTGGGACGAGGACAGGGCACGCTGTCGCACAATGATTCCAATGCACTCTGTTTAGGGCTGAAACGACACATTCTTGAATCTGCGTCGGTTAAATCCAGAGCTGAGGTCAGTTGTCGGCGAGAGAGAGAGAGAGAGGATGAACTTGAAGCTCTCTCCGGACAACTCTGGATTTAAACCCGACTGATTCTTCTGTGCTTTCGAACGAGCTCTGATACACTTACGACTCTTTTGCGACATTACTGTAAAACTTGGTGTGGTATAATATATCTTGAAAAATATAATTATAAACTATAAATTGATTTAATAATAATAAGATAAAGAACTGTTATATCTTGTGGTATCCTTAAGTAGTACAGTATATTCCAGACTTTAAAGCACAGGTGCCCAGCCATTCCAGTGTTTTATATGCCTTCAACTGTTCTGTTGTTTTTAGGACACAAAAAAAATACCCGGTTGACTTTTTACCCAGCTGTATTGTTGTACATGTAGATGCACTACGATTGACATCTATATGATTTGGAGCATTATTAGAAGATGTTTTTTGTTGGTTTTTGTTTGTTTCATTTTGTTTTTTTGTTTTTTTTTGCAGTGGAATCTTTTGATAAGAATGTGTCCCAAGATTCTTACCAAAGTCTTGTGTAGATGTTTTCTAGATGTATTTCCTTCCTTTTCTTTATCTCTGTTCCTCTAACATATTAATATTTTGGAATAATATCACCTTTACAATAAAAGTAAATGTGACAACTTTTCACATGGGTCGGTCTTTTTATTCAGGTTGTTGGTTTACACCTGTGCTGCCACTAGATGGTGATGGTGAGTTGAAAACCTTTTATTCCCTTTCATAAAGAAGGTGGTCATTCCCTCGGCTGCCTGTTCAATGTCATACCAGCTGACTTCAAGTCTTTCTTTGCCCACTATACCTCCATGCATTATTATGCATCCGCCACAAGGGGGCAGTGTGATGAACGGAGGACACATTTCTAATAACGGAGGGATATTTGATTCATTTTTGTAAATAATTTGCAAATAACACTTGAAAACTGCCTAAAACTGATTGGAATAATTTGCAGCACATTATCATTTGTACAGTAACAAACTGAGCAACTTCTGTCCAAAGAACAAGCAGGATTCTGCAGGAATGGCCTACCACGGAGACTCCACCGGTCTTCTTCTTAATTTCATTTTAAAGGATCATAAAGGCCGGACTAGACGTGAGTTTTTATGCACATCTGAGGTCTTTAATGGACCTGCCCTCCTCCTCCTCCTCTCTGGTGTGATGGGTGGGGGGAGGGGATGGCGTCAGGCTTTCCTTGCTAAGGAACTCTGGGGACAGGGGTGAAAAATTCAATACACACATCACAATGCCATTCCTGTTGCCATGCCAACACAACCACACATGGGGGAAGCCTACACACTTCACAGGCGATGGAAACATGGAGGGGGAATTATTACAGCGATGACTGAGATGTTAAAACAGACACTGCTGTGGAGACGAGAGACACATGGGTAAAGGACAAACCGACGACATGGACGGAGGATTCGTCTTTGCGTGTAATCTGGTTGCAAACCCTTTCTACACCTTATCCAGTCTAGTGCAATGCTGAGCTAAGACCGATTGGACTCCAAGATGCAGTTATGCAAGAAGACCTTCCCTGTCTTTGTGATATTATAATCAGTTTCCTCTGTCTGCTGACACATTAATGAATATTCATATTCTGGGGGCAGGCCACGATGCAGGCGGAAAAACTGAACTCCCCGTCTTCTTCTTCATCTTCATCTAGACTGATTCTCACTGAGCAGGTTTCTCCAAATGTGAGGGTTAGGCTGCATCTTTCAGCGTCACTCTGAACCATTACCGGCTTTATTTCAGCGCCTCGAAAATTTTTAAAAGGCAGGATTCATGTGAGTTACTGCAACACCCTGTCCTTATTTCAAAAGTGCCTCAGGCGCAACACTGTGGTGAAAGCGGTGTTCAGTGGGTGTATGCATGAGAGGCTTTACAGTATCAATAAAATAGAACAAAGAACACGGATCATCAGTCTACAGCCGAAAATTTATTTTGTACAACTTAAAGCCGTTTCAGACTTTGTGTCTTGATCAAACCTAAACATCTGGGTCACAAATATGGACGAGACCCCTGAATGCCACACAGCAGTTGCAGAGATACAATTTGATTAATAAGCATTTAAAAAAACACCTCTGTGCCCATCTTGTAAAACAATTTGTCTATAAATAGATGCATGTATCCTACAGGGACTTCTGACATGGAAACAGTCCAGTTTTACGGGTCTATAAACCTGGTCAGAGACATTTTGGCATTCGGTTTAACGAGCTTGTACAGCCCTACTAACGGCCCTGTGAAGCTGCAGGCACGGCCCTAAATTCCAACTTCAGCCAACATGCTCGTAGGAACTAATGTAACATACTGAAGTTTAGCAGGCACAGCTTTTGTATCAGGGGTGTCCAATCCTGGTCCTCGAGAGCCCCTATCCAGCATGTTTTAGATGTTTCCAACACACATGATTCAAATGATCAGCTCATCATCAAGCTCTGCAGAAGCCTGATAACGATCCTGATCATTTGAATCAGGTGTGATGGAAGACGGAAACATCTAAAACATGCAGGATTGTGGCCCTCGAGGACCAGGATTGGACACCCCTGTTTTAGATTGTCTTAGTTTTGCATCTAATATTAACAACACTCAGCACAAAGGACAACTAAGACTGATGGGAGCATCACTCATGTTGGATAAATTTAAATATTCGCCTGTTGAGTGGAAACTTTCACCTGCTTGAGAAGCTAAAGGGAAAAGTCTGGGGTCACCAAAGTCGTTGGGCTTGTACATTGAAAAGCAGGTGTTGAGGAAATTTTCTATGATCTACATAAAGTCCAGTAGTCCGAGTTGTCTTTGTCTCGTTTTATTCAAAGCTTTGAAGGTACAGGTCATACAGAATGCAAGCACTCAGTACACATGAGTGCAGGCAGCGTAGTATTCTTATACATGTACAGGCGTGGTCTTTACTCCAACGGTAGTCTAACAATCCCATGCTGGAAAACAACAGCTGGGTGTACAGGGTGTACTCATCCACAGACATTAGAAGACTAAACACGCTGGATCAGGCATCAAAAGTCTAAACACATGGGATGCACAACTTCTTCTTCCCACTAGTGTTTACCTGGATGTTATGGGAACACATGTTGGGCCTGTAACCTTTCCACTCAGCTTTAATGAAACTTAGAGAAACTTGCTTTGACATTCTTCATGCAGATGCAGTATTTTTCCATTACACATGTTAATATTTTTTAGATGATCTAGCCTGGAACAAAGCAACTAAATGAGTACATCTACGTGCACAACAACTGAAGCTGGCAGACAACAGAACACTGCGACATGTGAAGACGTTATCCTGCTGGAGGAATCCTTGGACACTAATGTGGATGTAAACACGCTGACTGACGGACGGATGTGATCCCCGGGGCCAGATAAAGATTAAAACCAATATGCAAATGAACTGATACCTGCCCAGGCATTGTGAGGCACGAGTCTGACATCGTAAATAAACTCGTTTAGCTTCACCAGGACTGTTCTTAATCTGAACCTTTCACTCTTTGTATCAGCCCTCAGATTCACTGCCTCTGCCTGATGAAAAGTCAATGTTCTCACTTTTTCATAGAATTTCTCGTTTAAATGTATCGGCGTTGTCGGAGGTTGTGGTGCTGTTGAGTTTTATTGAATCACACAAAGAGACGTGTGTGTAATATTGAACCGTCTTCATTTTTTTTTTTTTTTGAAGTTTCTCTGCTCTCGACTCCACTGAGCACGCTCACTGATGTCATCTGTCACTTTAGCAAAGCCTCCTGTCAGGAGAGAAAACAGCTCTTTTAATTTTCTTTCTTTGGGATTTCTATACTTTTCACTCACGTCTGAAGAGAGTTTTTAGGAAAGTCTCTGTGGTTTAAATGCAAATTTTGCATCGAATATCACCATTTTTTGAAAACAGCATCTTTATTTTCTACCGTCCACGTTTTCAAATGCAACTAAAACTTATTTGTCGTGTGTCGTAGTTATATTTTGATCACATCCACTGATCAGAAGTTGGGAAAGCAATTCAACACTTGCCTCCAAAAGTTTTCTAAACGTGCGATAAGGTTTCCTGACAGTTTGGGCGCAGTTTGAGAAGCGAGGCGATGAAATTCGACGTATACTTTCCTCTAAATTAAAGTGAAATCGCTCGAATGGGATCGCAAACGTGTTTTTGTCTTGTGCTATTAGTGTCAGGAGTGGTGGTTATTTTACATTTCATCTTGGCCGTTTAGCCTGTCAGAATACCTTTTACTCACATGTTTACAGACGAGCCTGCCTTCAAAGATAACTCTATAACTAAATTGCATCGGGTCCTTAAGTTGGAGGACGTGGCTGTTAACTTGTCAAGACCATCGAACGACATTCTCCTCATATCATACAGCAATTAAATGAATGAATAAGAACACATAATTGTCTCCTTTCCGTGTAAACTAATAGCTAAAAATGTGCATGTTATTGAAATTTGATATGAGCAAATATTGAATCATTTAGTTACATCTTCTATATTAAACCCTATTGTTCAGTTTCATGCAGACAGGCTTCATGTGGGCATGACTTCTTCCTCGTAACGTGTGTGGTTCTGTTTCCTTAAAAATGCTCTGAGTGTCAGAAGGACACCTCAGATGAGTGGGATTCGGTTATATAAAGAGGATTATTATTGGTTTATTTAATTTTTGACAAGAGGCATTTTGTAAAGCTTTGTCAAAGCAGTCAGGCGTGAGAGGAAAAAGCTGCGTGGATCCCGGATGGTGGGTGACTGAGTTGGCAAATTTTGCTTGCTCTGATTTGATTTGCCTAAAAGCCTTTTTTGAAAAGGGACCAGGTCATTCATTTGCAAAACACACACATGGGAGGGAGGGAGGAGAAGAAAAACAGCAGCCATTATGCTTTTTTTTTTTTTTTACAACAGTTAGAAAATCCAGGTACTTCTACAGTCCCTTTTTTTTTTTCTTTTTATTGGCCTCGGGGGCAGTTCTTCAGTCTGGACAGAGAATGACAGAGGAAATATAGGATTTCATAAACTAATAAACCTCAGAAAGAAAATCAATAAGGTTGCAAGCCCTGCAAAAGCTCTTTTCCACAAATTTATTGACCACTGCAACAATCAATGTCCGGAGTTTATAACCCGCTATGACATGAAACAGGAAGAACCTGCGAAACGTCAGTCAGCATTAGAGCGCATTCAGAATATTTAGTTGGATAAACAATTACAGCCAGCGAGGCAGAGCCACGGTCGTTTCTGTGTGAAGTCGGCGGCCCCCGGGCTGCAGATAGCCTCCCTGAGGATACGGCTCATTATCTGGCTCCAATGTTATGCAAGTTTAATTTCAAAACTGAAATGGCTATTCTGCTTATTGTCCTGCTCATTTGTTTTTATTTTTTTTCCCCCCCTCTCTCTTCTCTTTCAACGCTGCCACCTCTTTGTAATGCAGGCAAAAGACCAGAAAACCCTTTTACAGTGATAACACCAGATGATTTCACTGTCATGTTATCTCCTCGTTGCTGGGGAAACACACTTTTGCTGGGATTCACAGAGCAGCCATCTGAAATTGACTGGCATTACACAGCAATGCTATGGAGACTCACTGTGAGGCTTTCGTGGCGCCTGATTGTAAATTAACGCGGGCGGAAGAGAGTGACAACGCATGAAAATCAGAACACTGA